TGGCGGTGGGAAGCCCTCGGCACGCCCAGAGCCTGACGACAGCAGCTATGTCGCCACTCACCTCCCTCCCTCCATCCCTCACAATCCGCTCCATCCCTCCATCCCTCACAGCCCCCTCCATCCCTCCATCCCTCACAGCCCGCTCCATCCCTCCATCCCTCCCAGCCCGCTCCCTCCCTCCATCCCTCCCAGCCCGCTCCCTCCCGGCCCGTTCCATGAGGGCGCCGGGCGGGTCGGTGCCGGCGGGTGCGCCCCCTGCCGGGCCGCGCGGCAGCTCCAGCCGGTGCAAGGCAGGGCAAAACCCGAGCGAAAAACAAGGAAAAAAAAAAAAAAAAAAAAAAAAAAAAAAAAAAATAAAGAGGAAAAAGAGCCGAGAAGGGGCTGCTGCTGGCACTGCAATTCAAGTCCACGTGTATTCCCTAAGGGCCGAGAGTACTTCCAGTGAGAGAGGGCAGTAAAAACACTGGGCCCTGTAGTTTGGCACATTTCTTCTTCTTTAAAACCAGAATGTACCACTGCAGTTCACTGGGTTCTCATCTCAGTGCCCTCTGAGAGATACACTCTTTACTGGCAGTGTTAGATATTGCTGTATTAGGGTGTGAGACACTACTGCCAATTAAAAATAAACTAGAAAAAAGGCTAAAAACAATAATCAAGAAGGAAGCCAAATTTCTTTTTAGAGATGAAAACCTATCTTTCAGATTTATATTAATTTACCCCAGAAGGCAGCTTCAGCAATCAACTTTTTTTAGAATATGATTGATTTCCTGATTCCATTAGGTTTCTTCTCACACTGTGGTATTATCTCAATCATCAAACCAAGAGAAAAATCTCTGCCAATAAAGTGCATGATACTTTAACAAGCACTGCTGTAGGCCAAGGGCTTAATTTTTAATCAGAACGTTATTTGTATCATAGCAAAACCTGAGGCTACACACTGAACGATCACAGTAGTCCCAGGGAGCTTAACACCTACAAGACAAGAAAATGCCAGGACCAGAGATGCCGGGGAAGGATATATGTAAGATGAGTAGCAGAACTGAGATAAAAATCTCCATCTGTAAGACACTCTTATTTACAGGATCACACTGTTTCCCATCAAAATGTCATACTGTGGAAATGAGTGCCATTAGATTACAGCCCAGCAAATGTCTCACAGCAAAGTCTGGACATTGAGTACAAGTCTGCAGGAACAAGTGAGAATACTGACTAAAACTCTTCCTTCATCCATTTTTTCTCTAGGATAGAGAAAGCAACTGGAGAAGCAAACTAAAATCAGATACTCCTTAAGGGATCAGTGAGCAATATTTGATGTCTAAGCCAAATTAACTTCAAGAGGATGGCAGTGTTGTGACTGATTCAGAAATGCTCCTGCTCCAGCACCAATTCCCTGTGGAGAAATGCAACACCACACTTGCATCTTTTATTCTGCTGCACAGCATCTGCTAGACTCTGGCTGATTGGCGAAAGGAAAATGAAACATTTATGTGGCAGATGGATCAGGTCTGCACACTGTCACTCATTCATTAGTACAGACACTTAACGAGGATAGGTTACATATTGCTGCCACCCCAGAGGCAGAAGGTTTTGTATGAGCAAGTCATGGAGTTTTGGGGAGTCCAGGAGTTTTCTACCCCCACAGCACAACCTTTTCCTAAGCCATAAAGAGTAATTTCAGAACTTCTGTTATGAAGATCACTGTGGTGATGTGTGAGTCAGAACTTTATATCCTTCCTCATCACCACCAAAATTTGCAATTACATCTCAATCCTTCTTACCTACAGAAGCCTTTGTAAAATCTGCCCAGCTAGTGAGAAATAAGAAGCAGCAAACTTGGAAAAGGAATTCTAAAATGTAACTCTTTCCTGTATACTGCAAGCAATCTTTGAGCTGACAGTAAAAACCTTTACATTTGAGATGCATACAGAATCTGAATTCCTAGCTTTAGAATTTATTGTGCAAAGGTGACATTTTTTATATGCATCTGTTTTCAGAAAGATGACTTCAGAGCTACTGCCAGGATTGAGACAGTAATCTGTACCACCAAGATTACTCAGAAATCCTATTTGTAAACCAAGTCCTATTAAAACACCCCAGCCTCTGAACTTCTCCTTTAGTCAGTTATTGCCCAGCCCCAAGTATTTGAAAGGCTTATTTAGGTTTTTTTACACTGAAAGGAATGAATGTGACAGATACAGAGACACACTGAAGCAATTTAATGAAGCTAATTGGCATCAGAGGAGGCTATAAAAGGGGCTAAGAGTGTGGACTTAAAAATCCATGAAGCTATACTATGTTAACCTAGTGGGGTTAGGTAGAGCAAATATACATAAATCACCTGTAAAACTGGTATCAATGCAATGAATGGAACTGCTGGAAGAGGCAGAGGCTGTTGCTTCTACACAGCAAGCTGGTTAAGTTAATGGATTTGTTTAATTAAGGAAAGCAAGATGGCCCTATTCCCAAACTGCAACACACACGGGATGGAGGTATGGGGAAGGCTGCAGGGACATGCCATCACAGAGCCATTGCCAGGGTTAACAGCAATTCAACAGCTCCCTTCCAAGCCAACAGATTCCATGGTTCTGTGATAAAAACACGGCTTAGCTGGGCTTATCCAGCACTGTTATAAACTGCTTTTCCTCTGCTGTGACGATAACTGCAGGGAATGAACTCAAACGTCGAGCCTGACAGCCGTGCTCCTCACAAATGGGTGTCAGGAGAGGACAGTAGATGGCACTGCTGGAATGCAGTCTGAGCCTGCACAACTCTGCAAACACAGCTCAGAGGAGAGGGGCTGCTCACGCTGGAGGAGGAGAGACTGGCTCATACACGAATTTGTAACACTTAAAACCCATGGCATTTGCTTTAGGGAGAATGTGAGTGCTTCCATATCAGAGCCTCAGCAAGAGCTAAACTACAGGTCAAGTATGTTAACAAAAAGCTTAGTTTAAAATGGCAGAACCCATCCAAAAGGTCATCTACTGTACTCCCACCGTGCTAGCCAATGGCTTTTGCCAACACCTACTTCATGGGATGGGCACTAGATATTCCAGTTCACATGAGCCTAGGGGGGACAAACCCTTCTGGATTTTAGCGTACCACTGGCACATTATTTAAGAGAGCTTACTTCTCCATTTCCTACTTCGAGCTTGCAGAGAAAAGCTCTGCAGTGAGAGCAGTTTCAGGGCTCCAAGAGTGTTCAAGTAAAAAAGGCCATTCTAGAAGCTGTTCCAGCTGCTGCTGCACAAAGGAGATGCACAAATTTGGTGCAAAGAAGAAAAGGTTCTATACATTAATATACATAAATAGATGTAAATGGATATGTGTACACAGACTAAAAAAACTTACACAGTACATAACAGACGTCTTTGTTAGCCCTTTAGTGAAGCAGATGCAAGGTGTAAGAGTTTGGGTGCACAATACTCAAGCATTTATTCAGTTGCCAAAACACAGAATTTTTACCAGGGACAAATATTGACAAAAGAAGTAATATTTCTACGCATTTTCAGACACCACGAGGGCTTAGAAGCTAGACTTAAGTTATACACCAGAACTGTCAATATTCCAAAATCACTCTCTGTTAAATATCCAGTTCTTATCAATTATGTTCTCCACAATGTAGTTTAGGATCAGTTAGCTTGTTTTAATTCAAGTCCTAAAAGCCGTTCCCAAGACAACGCTGGCATCAGAAGGGGAAGCATTTAAAATGCACACTTCCTTGCACAGCAAATAGCCTGCAGGTTGAGACATCCTTGATATTTTAGTAATTTATATATGGCAGTAGCACTTACAGTAACACACTTCTTGCTGTACCTTATCCAACCATTAAATATCAGAAAGGCACGAAGAGAAAGCTGCCAATACATCCTGCCTGTACCAGCAAGTGCAGCCAGCTCAGAGCTGTGAAGCAAGGCAGGAAAGGACAGAAGTCACCTCAGCCAGGGCCTCTGAAGGCTAATTTGGGCACCAGGCAGGCCCACACCCAGGCTCACCAGGCATTCTTTGGCAGAAGGGAAAGCTGCCGAGGGCCTTTCAGCACACAGTTCACCTTCCCACAGGCAGGTGTGCCAGGCAGCTTGGGCCAGGCTGGTGCCACTGTAAGGAATGTCCCTGCTGCAGCAGCATATCCTGCCAGGAAGCCTACCACAGACAAGAGGGAAAGACAAACTGGCAGCACTATTTCAGATTTCATGCCATTTCTGCAGTGTTTTCTAGTGTTAATGGTACTGAATACCTGTCACACTCCACATACATCTTGAAGCAAAAACAAATAATCTTTCCTTCTGGGGTCTTCTTACAGAGCACTTGGAGTTAAAAGCATTCTTGCCTCAAGTCAAATTGAGTGTCGAATTGTTCACTTAGTCAGAAATCATAAACTGTGCCTCTACCTCTTCCATTACTTAAAAGAAAACTTCTAAATCTTATGTTACAAGAACAGTATTTGCAACAATTAGAAACAAGAAAAGCTTCCTCTAATTTATTTATATTTAACATTTGAAGGATTGGTGTGAAAAACTCAAAAGGAGTTGTCAAAATTGGCTGCTAACAAGCTTTTACTAGCATAGCCATGCTACACATGCAGACTAAATTAAGTCAATTATCTTGAAAAGATTTTATATTGATCCTTGGACTAACAAGTAAGATTAACAACAAAGGAAGACTAGCAGTAATACAAGCAAGTATGTTTGTCCCTGATTATTAAGGGTTCTGTCACGCAACACACATAGAAGCAAATCATTGGCTAATATTGTTCAATGAATAATCAAAAATATTAAACATGTGGTCTTCCATTAAGCAATGAAACCATTTTAAACAGGATGACAATCAACTTATCTCAAACCGTTTTCAAGTATCAGTGTAATAGCAAAGCATAGTCTAGTCTGAAACCTATTTTTAGATCAATTGCCTTCATTTTTTACATTGAGTATTATGCATATAATGCAATAAAGAAGTGTCATCTATCAGACCTTGAAAAAAACACATCAGCACACTCCAGCTAAATAAGGAAATGAAGATTTATTAGAAACTGGTAGTTTTATAGAGCTAGAAAGGTAAACATACATTGAAGAGACAAAGAATACACAATTGAACACAGTCATCATCAAGGCACATAATGAAAAATCAAATCTGAAATAGCTCATCTTTTCAACATTTGAAAGGGTCACCATAATTTCAATACTCATAATGGCACTTGCACACTATAAACAAAATGGAACAAGTCTGGAAGATAGAAATGCTAAAGTCATTTTTACATCACACACACAATACATTTGATTATTGGTCGCAGTCAAACAAAATTATCAGCAACTGATCTCACAAATCCCAAGGTACAAAGATATTGGCAAAACCAAGAAAAACTCGGATCAGAAAGGCATTATACATATAAATGATTTGGACAGAATGACTTTTTTTTTCTAAAGTGCAAAGTCCAACGTTTCCCTAAAGGGAAGGCCAAAATACAGCTAGAGCTGCCATTTTCTGAAATGTGACAAAAAATTTATAATACAGATTTTATGGAATTGCAATCTATCAGTTTATGGAGAATAAACACCAGCCATGGAAGCACTGAACACAAATTTGCCCGTGATTGCTGTTTAAAAAATATGGCCCAAAGCATATGTAGAACAAGGGAGATTCAGGCAGTTATTTTTGCTTGCTTGCTTATTTGTCTGCTTAAAAAAAACAAACAACAAAAAAACCATGCACCCCTCATGCCCACCCAAAAAAAAGAAGAAAGAATTAAAAAGAAGACCCTTAATGACCTTAACAGAATAAAGTTCTTCCTTCAGTAATCCAATTTCAGAAAGTGGTCTAAGAGCAGTTGCTTTTAGAAGGTCAACATAAGTATAATCCCGAATTTACTAAGATTAAGACACTACACATTACAGAAAGCAGAAAAAGCCTAACAAATTAGTCTGGTAATAATTGTTAATCTGTTTCAGTGTTCAGGCCTGAAGGCAACTGTGTGCCCCTCCACACAGACCAAAAAAAAAAAAAAAAAAAAGGAGGAAGTCAGGACTTGTCCATGGAAATACCACATTTTCTGCATTGAGGAAGGTCTGCTTAGTTTTTTGAGGAGGAGCTGTTTCTCAAGGACTAACAGGTCTATGTGCATGCTTTGCATGCTACATTAACATCAATCTGATGGGCACCTGAGGTCAGCACTGCCACTTGGTCACCAGGACAAAACACTTCAGTATTTTATTATCCCAATTTCATACCCACAGCCAGCATGCACAGAAGACTGATCTTGCATGACAAAACTGTAAAAAACCTTTACTACATAATGCAATTCTCTACTGGCTAAAAGCACATAGTGGATGTAGCCCTCTGAATAAGAGAAAGAATGAAGAGTCCAAAATGAGAAGCATTCCTGTTCCCAAGGCAGCTATGAACAGCTCTGCCACTGGCTGTGCTGCAATTACTACCAGCTTCATACTGGATCCTCCATCCTATTTTTAAATAGGAGCTTGCACTTGTATGGAATGGATCTAATATCCAAGCTTTTTTTGTTCCTTTGTTATTATGGTCCTATAAAACATGCAGCTGTAACCCAAATTTTGCCATGGTTAATGGTGCTGACATTTACAAGTGCAATGAAAAGCAGGTTCAGTGAAGCAAGTTATCAAAATTGCTGATTGTATTACAAAAATACCGTGTAAATCCATTTGAGGTATTCCAATACTGCAAAACAGCAGTTTGTCAGGCTCTTTAAATAATGAAAAATAAAAAAGGTTTGCCTGAAGACAAAGGTGATGGGCTACATTTTAATGTGTTATTCCATCATTGTGTGTATCCAAGATCCCATTTCTTATGAACTTAATATTCAGTCTCCAAAAGTAAAAAAGTGCTCACTTCTAGGCATGCAAAATGTCGCCTGTGAATTGCTTGAGTATAGGCAGCGTGACAAAACAAAAAGTCACTTTCATATATTCAGTATCAAGGCAGTATAAACTTCTCCTACCTTTGGTTTGATCCAAGACAAATACACATAGAAAGAACAAATTTTAAAAACCCCGATGAGTAAAACATGCATGATTTCCTAAAAATAAAAACATACTGCTGATTTAAAGACAGTTTCTTGATATTTTCTTTTCATCTCAGTGACATTTTAAAGTGCAATATAGGTATCTGTTTAAAAATGGTGAATTAAAATTTAAGAAAGTTTCTTCCCACTTAAGGGCAAATGTGGAAGTTGCAGCATCTCTCTATAAAGATCTGCCTCTAATTATGAGAGCAGATTACTTGAGAAAACATTGTTCTGGTTTTTCCAACAGTATTAGAAGCATCTCACTTTTTTCCTTCATTTCATGCTATTCCCAAATTCTGTTTCATTTTTTCATATACAACATAGCTGATGCTGACAGCTGGAAGCACTTTCATAAAATTAGGGGCTATGCCCCTATAAAGTCCTCGGAGTCCCTCTGTAGCAACAATTCTTTGAAAGAGACCAACCATGTTTAGCTGTGGAGCTCCTTCCACTGAGGCTAGAACAAAAAGATAATGTGTTATAAAACAGTTCTAGTAATATTATAATTCTTGAGCAAGTATCAAACATCTGGATCATGAACCTACTCTCTCAGTCCACTGAAAAGAGATCTTTTAATCCCAGACATTTGGGAGATATCCATGTGTCTAAATCCCAGTGGAAAGCATTATCCACCTATGTTCCTTTGGAAATCTAGGTTCCCATCCTTAAGTCTGTGCAGAAACCTATCAAACAAAAATCTCAACTATGAAACTATACTTATGAAATGTCCTACAGAGCAAACATTGCTTTCTACCCTCACAAGACAGTTCAATTCCTATAATTTCATCTCTAAAATTTAGAAAGCATTGTAAAGTTTAGAAGAATGCTTCCAGACTATGAGAGGGGCTGTTTCTGGTAGTCTTATATGGAATGGGGCTCTCAGAATATACAAAGCACCAATGCTTGAAATGTTACTTTTTAAATTGAGTATGAAGAACAAGAGTGTTGGGGGCAAGAAGGAGAAGGGACCAACATTAAGAAGAGTTTTCCAGATACATCCTTAGTTTTTCAAAGTTTTTTTCATTCCTATGTCTCTGCTAGAGCTATCCCACATTATATAATTTTCATGTGACCACACAGAAGCATTTTCAGTAGAAGAGAACTCACCTTGAGCCTGCATGCGTGTTCTGATGAGAGCGAGAGGGTAACTGGCCAGCTGCCCACATGTGCTGGAAATGGTGCCACACCCCAACAACACAAACACACCTGGGTTTGCAGAGCTCGAGGCATAGTGCTCTAGCCACGTACTCTTTAAGAGCTGCCAAGGTATAAAATTGAACAGTAAGACAAGAGATCTGCATTCCCAAAGGTAAACAAATGCTACTTTACTCATAACAAATCCTAAGGGCTCAGTCCTGAAAAGCACCAGTTTTACTGGGCCAGTCCTACATGCTTGAAGGGCACAGGTAAACACCTTGGCACACAGGGAAGAACTTCAACCAGACTATGAGAGTTAGTACCTAGAAAAGAAATCCTTAAAAGATCCAGCAGCAGGGAAGTGCCCATGCACCTGCAATACTTTGGGGAGAGGAGGAGGGAAACAACTCAGCACCCCACAGGGTGCAGCAAAAGCTCACACAGCTGTGCATATCATCCCATGCAGAAACAAGGATGCAAACTGTAGAAAAGAAATTCCATACAGCTTTGAAAATATTTGTGCAAGAAGTTTTGGTGATTACTAATGCAGTGTCAAAAAAACATTTGTCTAGACTATAAAAAAATTAGCCTGTGCATCTGAGTTATTTAACACACTTTGGAGCAATAAGTATTATCTAAGGTAGATAAAAGACTTTCAGCATTTCTGGTGGGTGAAATAGGTGCCAGTTTCTCTGGAAAGGAACGACATGTTTAAAGCTCCTCAGAAAAGCTGTGTCAGCCAGAAAGAATTCTGGTGACATGCAAAGACACACAAGGAATTCAAGTTAATATAATCCACTCATAAACCTCACAACTGGCAAAAGAATGTATAAACTATCATAATATGAATATCCTTTTAAAGGCACATATTTCCTCTAAAATGGGTATGTTCCAGTCTAAAAAGGTTAGGTAAGTATGAAAGCTTGTGGTACTGCCAAGGTCTCTATAATCCTCTCATAGCACATTTCCTGCTTGATACCCTTGCATGGAAGAGCCCATCTACCCAGGCACTCCTCAAGAGGGGCAAACAGAAACACTGAGGTCTAGTAACATTAATGGAAAGTCTCATTTCTCTTTTTAAAATTGAACCAACTGTAATAGTACAATAATACAGACATCCTAAAAAATATTTACACTTTTTGTAAATTAATTAATGACAGCTACATGCATTCAGTGATCTAAACTCACCTCATAAACAGCAAGGTCAATGCCAGCATAAGGAATTATACCCAGAATATTAGGAATATAGCCTTTGTAGAAGGCCTTTGGACCTTCTCTTTTTAAAATCTTCTTAGCACAGTCAAACATCCCAGAATATTGCCCTGTTTTACCCACAGCCAATCTGGTCTTTAAAACCTAAAAGGTGAAAAAATAGCAGTCTTAATTACACACCTATTTATTAATCTAATTTAGATACACAGTATATCTCTGCTTATTCAATTCTCTAGACCTGCTTTGCACTTTGGTGCAGCAAATCTCCTTTGATTACTGATAAGGCCTTGTTAGCAGCAGGCGTCTTCAAGTTCTGACCTTGGGGCAGAGCACCACACATTACTATATACTAGCTTACAAATTCTTAGCCTTTTAAAATTGCATTTTAGCTTTATTTTCTTGATTAAAACAGGCAGTTACTTGATCAACTTGAAGGCAACAGCGTAGACAATATTCAATAGAAGTATTAGCTAAGGCACAAGTGAGAGTACTAACATGCTAGCAGATGTACTTCTGGTCTGGGAACACTAAAGAATATTAAGAAAATATTTCGAAGAGTATGACAGAGAGATAGTTGAAGAACATAAGGATTGTGTCTCACTACTGAAACCCAGCACCTGATTAATAATGCAAGTAAGTCTGTACTGCATCCTAGGACAAAGAAATTATTAACAGCATCCAAAAGAAACCGCAGAGGAAGTTTCTTGAGCAACAATTTTGTCTTTAAAGCCTCACAAGACTACATCTTCCTCAAGAATTTCCTGGCACATGGTTTTTCTCTCTAGAAACATCCTAAACACACTTCTAGGACAGTACCCTCTCTTAGTGAGGAAGGCCAGAAGGTATTGTAGAACAATTCCCTTGTCTGCACTCATCCGTGTAATCCACACAATCTACATCATGTTTCAGTTCTTCCCTAACTTAACTCATCTCTGTACTCAGGGCAGCTGGGATTCATCCCCTGGAACAGCAATGATGCTCTTTAAAGGGATTATTATCACTTCAGCAATGAAAAAGAGCTCCATTCCTACTGAAATCCTCACCCATGAAAAAGCTATTTAAGTTACCTTTGCCATTACTACCAAACTTGATGTTAGTATTGGTTTAGCCCCAACCCCATCATCTATTCTGCACAAGTGATAAACCTTCTGGGAAACAAGCAGTAAAGAAAATACATCCTGTTTCTGTGAAATGGTGTGTAAGCAGTTACACTGGAGCAGTTAATACATGAACACTAGTTAAACTGCAATATGCAGCACCATCTACAGGTATGTCCTACAGGGGAAAGAGCAGCCAATCCACCCAGCCCGAGCTGGAGCTGTCACATCCTTCCCCACACTGCTCTCCTTATCAGACACAGCTTCCCATCACAACACAACACAAGTGAACAGACAAGACCATTCCTTGCTTACATATAGTAGGAAAAGGATTTATGCCCAGTTTACAAAAGGCTTGAATACATACTGAATTTTAAATGTTCTTGGGTGGTGTTTTTTCCTGCACCAGGTTTTATTTAAAGATTGTTTTAAAAAATATTATACAGCAAAATATATGGAAAAATTACAATAATCAGTTAGAACATAGTATATTCTAAAATGCCTAGCACTGAAAGTCTGAAAGGAAGTACAAAATAAAAATAAATTAGGATATTAGACTAGAGAGGAATTTTTACAATAATTTCAAGAGCAAAATGGGGTTTACTTAGGAAACAAATCAAACATTTTGCAGGCTCCAATGGAAGCAGATTATCTTACCTCCATGGGATATATAGAAGTTTGTGCTGTTGCTCCAGCCAAAGAACCAGATACAAATCTTTCAACAGTGCCTAACTTTCCATCATCCTTAGTGAGTATCTTCTTATACTGTATAGTTAAAACACAAATAAACACGTATTTTTAGGAGTGGCAAGAGTTATTATAAAAGGCAAGAATATAGCAAAATATGTCTTTTCAAGCCATTCTTAGTTTTTCATGCATTTACATTAACCCAAAAAGATTCTCCAGCACACAATAAACATTCCAGCCTGTAAGAATTCTTAGATTAAATACCTCAGTCACCCACAGTACCATCAGTTGTTCTGCAAACAGCCAGCTCAAGGGTACCTACACTAAGAACTCCAGAAAACAAAGAGGAACCAAATTCACTTGCAGATCCAGTTGTCCAATCAAAGAATGAAAGATCAACTATCAATTTCACAGAAGCACTCTGAGCACTGTACATAGTGTGTCATTCCATGAGTAAAGAATAATGTGCCCAAGGTTACTCTGTGGCACCAAAATCTGCTGTTCAGTCTTGCAACATCCCCAAGTTTATTTGATATTTTGTTGGTTTTATCTCCTCTTTGTACAGAGATGTGCAGTATACTCATTTGGTCTTATTTGAGGCACTAGCAAGCCCCACAGAGCAAAAATAAAGCTCATTTAAATACACCAGAATGGGAGTTCATTTTCCAAAGGAGGATTAGGCCTTAACATGATGCTTAAAGCTGATTCAGAGGTAAATATAACTCTGAAATCCAGGATGAGGGCATCATACATAGCATACACACATGAGCACTGTGATATTTGACTTTAAATGGATCCCCTGTAAGCTCAGCTAGCATAATGTGCCAAGTTTTTGCCTGTCACTTTGCAGCAACAATCTAGATGTTAATGCAGCACTCCACACAAAGCCATGCAGAATTAGGGACAGTCTAAAACATCTAACAGATATCATTTATTTGCACTGCTTATAATACAACAGTAAAATCTGCCTAATAGTAAATATTCCATAGACTATTTTAAATCTGAAAGTCACTCAAATTACTATGACAAAATCCCCAACCATGACAACAAGTCCTATATAACAAAACAGTGCCAATAATGAACAGTGAGAGTGATTTAGGAATTTATTTAGCATTATTTTCATTCTTGATTTATCATCCTACCTGTTCATAAGCCCAGAACTTAATAGCTGTTTCAGGAGCTATTTTCACAACATTTACACCATTCCCCCTCCAAAGGGATCGGACACCACCTTCTTTCAACATTTGTTTAAAGCCACTGGCTATATTCATTTTGTTTGACTTTGAACCATGAACCTAAAAAAAACAAAACCAAAGTCACAATAGAGAACACTGCTCTGATTAATTATAAAACACATCAGTATTAAATTGACTAAATATATCAACTAGCGAAACCATATGCACGATTGAAAAAAATCTAAGTAGCACTAGTACCATAACATTTTGCTTACATTTTTTCCCACAAATAAGAACACAATGAAAAATACCATTTTTATCAACACAAAAAATCGAAATTGTCAAACCATAGCAAGACCTCTGCAATTTAAACACCGACCTTGGCCCTCAATTTTTTTCCCAACAGATCTCTAAAACCTGAAGTGATACCCTGGAAACCAATAAATTGTTGAACATTGCACCTACCTGCATCATGACTTTAAGGCGATCTAAGGGTGCTGTACCTGTTCTAGAGACAGCACCAGCCACTCCTCCTGCCAAGAGCTGCTTCCACCACTGCCCAGTCTTCTTCTCTTCCTCTGTGAACTCATCTGGAACAGTCAAGCTATCTCCTATATCCAGTACCTTTATGAATCCAAAGCAAAGATGTGCAAATAACTCATTCCATCACCTCAGTTTTATCCACAGTTCCACTTCCAAATTAATATACTACCTAAGAATGTGCAAACAAAGTGCTAGTTACAAATATCTCTAATTTACATTCTATAATTAACTTGCTATGCATTGCTATTCAATAAAAAGCAGCTTTAAGTGCCTTCTACATAGATACTGAGCAGTAACACCACAGACCCACCATTTCAAAGACTGCACCATCGTCATTAAAAATTACAACAAATTTCCTCCTTGAGTACGGCCCAAGCAAAGACATTCTGTCATGATCAGCAGTCCTTTAAAGTCAGCACTAAATGCTTAGATGTTGCAGCTAACCTTTCACCAGACAGTCTTGTGGGATTAGTTTGGTAATCTCCTAAGGTTGCTAACACGAGATTTCTCTCACGGTAATTTATTCACACATGTGGGATGTCTCCTTCCCCCACATTGCTCAACATTTTAAAGCAGGGTTTTAAGAGCTGATAGATCAGAATATTCTATTTCTGGTAACTGTTGTGTATTATCCTACGAAATGAAAAGTTTGACAAATGCCTTATAGATTTTCTTATCATCCGTTATACTCAAAGACACATTTAATCACTTTTTTCAGCTATAAAAGTCTGAAATTTCACTAAGGGGGGACATGTTTGTATTGCTACTGGATTTGATCAAAGAACAACATTAACAGATATTAATGACAAAACTAAGGCATAACACTATGAAATCTCACATGTCACTTTTGCTCTTAAGTGCAACCTATAATCATGATGCACGAGAAAAAGTACACTGTAGATAATGCAAATCTGCTATTACACATAAATTAAATGTATAAAAAGAACAAAAATGTATTAATAACTGATAGGTTATTATCAGTTAACACACTTTCTGGTGTTAAACCTTTGAACTACCATTGATTTTAATTGTAGACATTATATCCCTAATTTATGCTGCATTCCCTCTCTGTTAGTAGACAGAATACTGTCCTGGTCATTTAAGACAAAAATTGCAGAATGCAGAGTGTAAATAAAGCCACTGGACACAGAGGATAAGCACCAACTATTCTGGATATTGAACACAGAATAGATTAATTGGAAAACCCTTTCATCTTTCTCACATTTGAGGTTTCAAAATAAGGTGTCATCAGTTGCTCAGCTACACGGAAACGTCAAAAGATCAATCAAAATTCTCAAAACATAAATTCAGTGTTCTAAGAGGTATTATGCATATCTACCAGGGTTTAAACCTTGTGTGTACCAAGACCTAAACACAACTAAGGAAAAAAAAGAAAGATAAATTTGAGAGTGTTTATAACAGACAGGCCACATAATAATTCTATGCCATTGTAGCTATCTGCTTGGAAGAGTCTGATAGCAATTATATAATAAAAACAGAATTGTAAGAGCTGTCTGTTAATGCCAGCCAGGCTGGGAGGTCTCACATCTGCTCTTATCTCCAAGACCAGCTGTGTTGCTGGATTTTGCCTGCTGTGATAACTGGGTCATCAGCTGACTGCAACACTAAGATCACAGGAGACTCCCTCAGTTGTTTCTTGGGGGCAACTAATGACATTCCATAATAAAAAAAGAAAAATACAGATCTTATATTTAATAATAGTAAGGAGCATTTTATTACAGCAAAGGTTTTTTTCCACGATGTAAGCTGGGACCAGGACTATTTGATCTCAGAGCAGTGCTTCAAGTGCTGTCTTCAACAAACAGGGAGCTAACTCCCTTTTGGTAGGCATTCCTGAACTGAGGTTGTACAGTGTCAAACACTCAAAGATCTCAGATCTCATAACGTGTTTTTTATTATGGAAATGCTGACTAATCCCTGGAGATATAAATGGTCTCAGTATATTCAAAGGCATCTAACCTTACTTTTTTTCCTCCAATGATCTACAGGAAGGGTATTTAGCAAATAGGATTACTGTTGGTTTACTTACTTTATTATTGCTCTTAAAAATCAGTCACTGAGGTGTCAACAGTTCCATTCAATAAAAACTTTAAAAATTTCTCTGCATAGTGGATAACCTGTTGCTGTATATTCTGAATATTGAAATTCTATGGCACAAAAGAGCATGATGTGCACAGAAAATCACCAGTAAAGACACCAGTGATTTTATGATAATTATAATGATACTATATAACTGCAAATATTAATTTCAACCTAAGAAACAGTTAAAATGTCTATATAAGTTGTTTCAACAAATCCAATCGTATTTTAATGTACAAAGAAAAAGATTTAATATTGTAGTTATTATTTTTCTATGAAATATCTCCAAAAGAGAAAAAAGATTCTGTCTTAAGATTTACTGATAATTATTTGCAATTCCTTCATTCAGAAGGAACTCATCTGATACAATCCTGCTTGTAAATGGGAGAGCATGAAGTGAAAAGGAAAACCAAACAATACAGATACACCTGAAATATAACAAGTGTGAAGCTGTTGTACTCAATAGCACAAATTAACACAGCAGAGATGAACTTAAGAGCTGCACTAGGTTAAAAGACAAGTTGAACTTACAGTGGAATGTTTCCAATATCGAATTATTTCTTCAATGTCTGTAGCTGGATTAAACATAAAATGATCTCTCCACTCATTCCAGTCCACTGTCATGGTCCCATCAGCATCAATACTGAAAAGAAATTGAACAAAACTATATAAGGAAATAGTAATGGTGGGGTTTTGTTCTGGTTTTCTGCTTTTTCATCCCCCTCCTTTTTTTAACTTGGGTTATCACATCAATAACAATTCCATATGCAATTCCATATAGTGACTTTGAGGCTGAATCTGCCATGGTCTTTCAATACTATGCTTCTCTTATCCAAGTGCATCTGTCCTCTTCCATTTAAAGACATAAAACAGTGCTTCTTTCTATCAACAACATTTACAAAGAAATAAAGCAACATTCTCCTCCCAGAACCAGATGCTCCAATAGTAGCTACCAACACCTTTCAAAGTCATAATCCCGTTTATCCCCCTCTCAGAAACAGAACAATATAAAAATTAACAATACAAGGAAGATTAAGCTGCCTCAAAAAATATTAATTCCTGACCTTTGCAGGATCTTTTCTGCCTGTTTTTCTGAAATGTTTATACCCAATATCTTGAGGGACTGGACAACTTCTGAGGCTTCAATTTTTCCTTGAAACATTAAAATAAAGATGATACACATTTAAAACATGGATCTTAATAAACACAGCACCTTGGAGCTCATTGTAACAGCTGAATAATTGCAAAGATGATTTAAAAATCAACTTACCACAGATGATGTGTTTTGATTGTCTACTACAAGGACGAAGCAAATGAGACGCAAATATACAGTTAGTTAAAAATTGGTTTATCTTTAATAGTTAGAAATAGTCAGAAATTTCCTCACAGTTTCTCCATCTGGGGAAGAAGGAACCCCAGTTCAGTGGACTTGGAGAAAATAGAAAGAATAAAGACTATAATTAATTATTTTGTTTTCAATCTATAGCAAACTAATTATGATCATGTTAAGGAAAAGAAGTAAGGATTCTATATTCACAACTTTTTGCTCCAGTTCAGACAAATATAAGTTACACTACTTTTAATGCAGTTTCTTCAAACAATGTTTGAACATATAAAATAAATCAAAGTATACCATCATTGTTTTTGTCCAGGCTCTTAAATGCCAGTTTCATCTTTTTCTCATGTTCTTTAAGATACTGCATAAATTCTTCAAAATCCAGCTGTCCATCCTGGTTAGTATCCCCAGCTCTAAAAATTTTCTATTGAGAGAAAAATGAATATTTTATTTGTCCAAATTACAGCAGGTCACAAAGCATCATTTTTTTTTCAGAATTTAACACACTCAATATTTGCATAGGAAGAGAAAACACTTGACAGTAAATATATATTTAAGAAAGAATTATTTATTATTTACATAACTTTTCTGTGCAGAAATGTTAAGGTTTCTTACCAGCACTGGCAAGTTATATCTACAAGTACCAAATAATTTATGGAGGAAGAGGTGGGGGACAGGAGAAAAACCTGAGAACAAGTTAAAGCCTGTGAGTTTCCTGTACATGAAATTCGCCAGTAAAATAAGCAGAACCTTGACTACCATCTTAATCAAGTCTATTAATTATGAATTATAAAGATTAAAAAATACAAACAGCAATTAACTCTTTAAATGCTGACCAAAAAATTACAAAGATCATGCCTCACTGGCACTTCCAGCCCTCAGTGATTGAGAGAACTTGGCTTTCTACTTCAAACTGAAGCCCTGACTACAGTTTTAAACAAACTTGTAACAAATACAAACACACTTATCTTCCTTTCTTGCCTGTGCTTCCTAGGAACTGTCCTGCAGATAGAAACACTTCATGTAGAATTAACTATGCATTGAATGCATGGTATGCAATTGCCAGGGCTGCAGGAAACAAGTCTCAAACACAGCCCAGGCAGCTTCTCCACCAACAAAGGGCCAGAAAACTTCAGCATGAAAATGGAACTTTGATCTCCTCACTAACTGCAGTTCCACAGCACTTCAGGTTACATATGCCAAAAATTCTCCCAAATATCTTCTATTTAGCAGACTGCCTTGTGCAACTGCAGTTTCTGAATAAAGTAACCCTCAACAAGATTTGAATGCCTGTTCTAATCTGCAAAATCTGGTTTTAATTTTCTTTAATCCTCTTTAATTAGTAGAGGTCCTCAAAAGACCAAAGTCCAACAAGTTCTAGGCTACAGAAACCAAACACAAAGGAAGCAGAAAAATTGATGTATTTGTTGTAGGTATCTGAAAAAGACTGAAGAGGTCTAAACGTATGTATGTTGCCTCCCTCATCTTCCCTATCACTCTACAAAAAGTAATATACTTTAAAACTTCATCTCAAAAACCAAGATTTATAAGATGATCAAAGATTTCTCAATGAAATGGAGCACAAAACGATGTGGTACACCACAGTGAAATGAGCAAATTATTTCCCTCCCGTAATACAGCACTTGTGCACAACAAAAATCAACTCAAGATACCACATATTCAGATAACTGTGATTTGGTATCAGCTTTGAAAAACAGTGTTCTTAATACAGTCACAAGTCCAGCTTGATTGCAATTTCTATTAATAACCTGTCACCACAGATAGATATAATCATCAATTCAGTTTTATGTCTCTGTCAATATAGTTAGAGCTGTTCACAATCTCCCATTATAAAAAAGTTAGTTTACAATTATAGATATTTATGGGTACAGTCTGACCACAACATTCTAACAAGAAATTAAGAAAGTCTAGTAGATGAATCATTAAAAAAAAAAAAAAAAAAAAAAAAAAAAAAAAAAAAAAAAAAAAAAACCTCACCATTAAANAAAAAACACAAGAAACCAACCAAACCTCACCATTAAAAATTACTCTAGTCTGAAGAGTCCCCTCTCAAAGACACTGCAATCTCAAATCACCTTTCAGTCCATGCACGGCACCTCCTGCTGCAGGCTCTGAGTGTTCTGCTGGGCTCCCAGGCTTTCCTGAGAAGAGGTGACTTATGGAGCACTTGTAATTGTTACTGTTCCCTATAGCTACCTGAACCACACAAACCAAAATGCAGAACAAGGTTTTCTGGCTCACAGATAGGACAAAACTTGAACTAAATTATAATTGCAAAACCTCCGCTGCTGAAGATGATATGAGCCAAAGAAAACAGGAACTCCTAGGAAGTTCAGAGAGCTGGTGATTTCTGAGTGTGAAGGGAGGCACCTTTCAGTTCATCTGCCAAAGAAGTGGATTCCATACTGCAACAATGAGAAAAGGGTAAGCACAAACATACTCTATTTCCTGCTTTTGTTTTGACAGTTGTTTTCCAGACTTCAAGCCAGTCTCAGCCACTCTCAGTGAAGCAGAACAGAAATGACAGGGAACAAAAAACGTATGGCACATGTGTTTTTCTCTCAGTACAAATCTAAAAGCTCATGCAAACAAAAGCCTCTTGCTGTCTATGAAATGAACTGATTAGGTGGGTGCTAGAGTTTCAGATCAAAATCAGAAATTTGCAAGTCTGTGGAAGTAACAGGAACACCAAAAGAAGCTTGTCTTCTGCTTGGCAGGCAGAAACTTCCTCCTGGGGGGTTCCACACTCCATGGGCAAGGCCAGCAGGAAGACACCCCCTGGATTCTGTGGGGAGCCTGGCACACTGAGTCCTAGGTACAAACTGCCCCTTCACAGCATCAAATAATAATTCAAGTTGGAAGGAACCTCTGTAATCCATTGAACTCAACCCCAGCTGAAAGCATGTCTAATAAGATCAGGTTGTGTGGGACCACATCCAACTGAGTCTTGGACACCTCCAGGGAAGGAGATTCCACAAGCAAACCACTCCATCAGTCAATCATCCCCCACTTCAGTTCAACACTGAATCCAACTCTGCTGTTCTGCATTTAATACACTACCAGATTTTGTGTAATTACAGCCACTTGTCACTGTGCCAGTGCCTGGGTCACCAGCTTCTCAGGTGGAGGAGAACTACACACATTTTAAAATAGGCATGCTTACAATAGAGCAGGAACCAACCAAGGTGCCAACACTCGCTTAGGAGTCCTGGGAAACAATGTTTGGCATGCCTGCCACATAAAACCTGCTATTTCTTGTTACAGCCTTACTGTGGGATCACCTCACCTTTACAAAGGCCCAGATCCAAATGCTTACTTTTCAAGGCACACCATTTCTTGTCTCATTGTCTAAAAACTGTAACCCCAAGCAATAAGGATAATTCAGTGGACAAAATGAAATGGTGACCACATAAAGAATTGTTAATTCCTGACAGATATAGGAAGACAGTTGAGATGATGACAGGAGCTAGCATTGTGTGCTTGCAGCCCAGAAAGCCAATCATACCCTGGAGTGCAGGAAAAGAAGCATGACCAGCAGCTCAAGGGAGCTTCCATCCCTCTATCTGCCCTCATGAGACCCTGCCTGGAGCACTGTATCCAACTCTGGGCTCCTCAGCACAGCACAGACACCACAGACATGATCAGAGAGCAGGAGCACCTCTCCTGTGAGATGCCTGTGAGCAAAGGCTGGAGTTTTTCAGGCTGAGGAAGTGAAGGCTCCAGGGAGACCTTACTGCAGCCTCTTGGTACTTAAAGGGACTTAAAAAAGAGACAGGGACAAACTTTTCAGCAGGGTCTGTAGCAATAGGACAGGGAGCAACGGTTTTAAACATAACGAGTGTCAATTTAGATTACATATAAGGAAGAAGTTTTTAACTACCAGGGTGGTAAAACACTGGCACAGTGGGAACATCTGAGGTGAGACTGGGTGGGGCTCTGAGCAACCTGATATAGTCGAAAATGTCCCTGCTTATTGCAGGGGAATTGGACTACAAGGCCTTTTAAAAGTCACTACCAATCCAAACAATGCAATGATTCTATGATGTTTCTTTTTAATGCTACAGGCCTTCAAACAAACAGACTAAAATGCTCCTGTGCTGACCTACTTGGTCATGACACTGTCACCTTTGTCTTTTCTCCTCTTCCTTTTTCTTCATAATTCTACTATTTTTATTCTTTTTCTGTTGCATATTTTGTTAATACAGCTACTTTCATAGCCCTGCACAACCAGGCAACACCAACACAAGAGGCCACAAGCAGACTGAAACACTGAAAGTATTTTTTAAAAAATTCCCCGTTATATAAATCATGTTGCAGTGTTGAATTCCTACTCTGTCAGAAGACCTCTGTATTTGGTGTGGAAATGTAAGTCAGGTCTGTTAAAAAAAAGAATTACAGACAGGCTTTATATACACATCAAAAACTCCCTAGCCTTCTCTGTAAGTGTCCTGATGAATTATTAGATTGCTCTATGCCAAAGTTATGAACTTTAACACATTCATGGCTACAATGTAAAGACAAAGAATGCAATACACTAGAAATACTCATGTTTTTATGTAGACTTTTAAACTTACGGTCTAATTTTTACATTATTTAGTGTCATTTGTGTATTGTGCATGAGCCTTTACATTCTCTTTACAAAAGTGAACTGTGCATGAAAGGTGGGGCTGCTGAGTACAAAGGATTACCAATCTATTCATTAGCTTGGTATTTCAGCTAATTAATGTAATGTAAAGAATATTTACAAGGAAGTGATTCATCAAGAAGTTACTGGCTTCCTATCATGCTATCTACAAGACACAAGCACAAAACAGCACTTCAAGATACATCACTGGTGCAAGTAGCAATTATGTGTTCTGCAATCAGAGTTTCAAAGGGCACAGATAAAAATGCTGCATACAAAGAACTCGAGGGCCACAGTAAGAACATCATCATGCCTTTAGACATTCACACATTTCACATTTGCTTTTAAAATCAGAAGTACTACATATAAAACCAATCATGACATTTTTTTTCCTTTTTCTCCCCTTTTTCAGTTATTTCCCTCTAAAGTATTTTTCAGCCATTCACACAGCTCTGCAATCTACAGTTTTAAATTATTCAATTGTAATATTATTGGATGCCAAATTCAGTCACAGCTGAAGTATACACAACACTTCTCCCTTTACTGGACACACAGACAACAGTCCTTCTCCTATTTATATCTGCTAAGTCTACACAAATTTATGCAGACTATGATAACCCCAAAACACTAGCAAAGATTATTAAAGTCAGCCTTGTCAAACTACATCAGTTAGGAGATAAATCCAGAATAAAGAGAAAGGGCCTGAGGATGTGTTCACACAGTATCATAGCCCAGTGAGTCCACATAACACACAAACTAGACTGACATTTCACCTCCAG